GGCTTCACAGAATTGCCTTCTAGGAGGTCGAGTTGCTGACCAGAGGTCTAGAAGGACCATATCACATGCCCTTCCTGGAGTTCCTGCATGTGGAAGCTCTTGGGGCAGCTGGGAAGCAGCCATGGGGAAGAGACGCCCACACTGCCGTGATACTGTGCAAATCAGACCTCCCAGGGGCCACAAATAAACCTCTGCCAAAGAGAGAGGATGTCACAGAATCCAAGCAGATGCTGAGGGATCTGCTTTGCCTGAAGCAGGGACTCAGGCTCCTCCAGGTTGAGCAATGGAGTGCTGTGTTGGATGGGGATGGTGGGAGTTGCAGTCCAACACACAGGGAGAGCAGCAGATTAGGGAACGGTGTGGAGGGAGTGACCTTATTTGTAGAAACAAGGGCATGTTTCTCGCACAAGGATGGGTCCCCGTTCCAGTTTCTCCCCCAGACACTGCAGCATCGCTGACCTTGGTGGGAAACGGCGCTCGCCCTCCCTTCTGTCAGCTTAGCATCTCCGCAAAAATAGCCATGTTAGAAATAGTGCTCACGTCTGCCTATTCAGGTTATTAGGTGCAGGAAACCAGCTTTTGGAGCAGTGCAATTAATCATTTTTTAAGCCCCTCCTCTTTTTGACGACACCTTTCCAGCATCGGTGGGTCCAAGTCTGTTTATGACATCTCGTCTCTAGAAGCTAATCTATCTTCCGTGCCCTTTATGGAGACGGTGCGCCGTCGACAGTTGGAAGATGCAAGCATTTGGGCTCTTTTACTGGTGGTCTTGTGCTCTTTCCAGCCAAGTGCTGCAGCTGTTTTGGGTTTCTCGGGACGGCAGAGAAAAGGCTGTGGGTGGGTTGCAGGTTTATGCTTGAACTGCCAAGTTGAGAAGTGGAATGACTCAACCTTCCCAGGAGCAAGTTGGACCAAGATGGGAAGAATCAAAGCAAATCTCAGTGGCTCTGCTGTGGAGCTGTGAAAGCTGCTTCTCATTTGTGATATGGGGCACCGGGCAGGGGGGTGGGTGGGCTGAGGCAGTCCACTTGTGACAGGGTAGGACTTTGGGGGAGAGAAGAGCAATCCGCAGTCCAAGACCCACTTGGTTCCTTAAGGGTGTTAAGGAGAGAGCCTCTTTTTTCCAACATTCGCCTCACTCCAGGCGCTTTCTCCCAAACCAACACATTGTAGGCAAAGGGCCCTTCGACCCTTTCCTTCCCAGCACATGCCGGAAAAAGATCCTTTGCCAGAGTTCTTCCTTCTTCCTCTGCTGACATCCGCACGGTGCTCAAAGGACTCAGGAAGGGTAACCAGAGTTTAGATTGTATTTCAGTGGATTGCTGTAAACTGCCCAGAGTGCTTTGGCCATTAGGTGATATAGAAGCTAAGCAAGCCAGCGGAGTGCACAGTCAGGGGAGTGCTGGAGCAGGGCCGTGGCTTGCTCTTCCCCTTGAGGAGAAGCGGTTAAAGAGCCGTTGCCCGTGTCTCAGATCACAGGGGAGCAGCCCGAGGTGAGAGGCAAGAAGTCCGAGCTTTCAGCTTTCGCTCATTGCAGAATATGATCCCGGGGAGAAGCCACTCCCACCCTGCAAAATGCACAGAAATTCACTGGTGCTTTAGCGTCACTGAACAAGAGTAGCTGCACAATAGGGTCTGCTTGTCACAGCGGTGTCGATGGTTAGGAACTGCCCAAAGAGCTTTGGCTATGGGCAGTATGGAAATGAGATAAACAAGCAATATGGTTCCTTTCCCACAGTGAAGGTTTCACAGCAGATCTTTGTTGCAGAAAGCTACACAACACCAAAAGGGCCGTGGGGTGCTTTGCTGCTAAGCACTTCTGGGGAGAGGCCTTTGTTGGCAACCTTGCTTCTTCCAGGTGTTTTGGACTACAATTCCCTTCATCTCCATCTACCCAGACACAATGATCAAGTTCCGGGTCACCTCCAAGGGAGGCTTGGACGGTGGCAACAAGGAAGGGCCTTTTCAGTGGTAGCCCCCCAGTTATGGAATGAGCTCCCCACTGAGGGCCTCCTGGCACTACAATTTTTGGGCACCAGGTAAAGACTGTCCTACATTGCAGGGCATTCAATTAGTCTGCTAGGGCCTGCTAGTTTTTTAAACCGGTTTTAAGAATTTCTAATAGTTATTATATTTTTAATGTTTTAAATTTTGTACTGTAAATGTGTATGATGCTTTAATACGGTGCATTTTGTATTGTATTTTAATGTATTGTTGTGAACCGCACAGAGAGCTTTGTGAAGCAGGCAGGATGCACCCTTGGCTGGTTGGGATGGAATGTTTTCCCCTCTGCCTGGGAGAGGGAATGAAATGCTCTCAGGTTCAGCACCAGCCTGATTTCTCCAGCGATTCCCTCTCCTCTTGTCCTGCCTGCTGTCTTGGGTGTCGGCCTCTTTTTCAGCTGGCCACCAGAAGAAACACAATAGTTCTGTGATTTTGTAAGTGTACATCAAGAAACAGAGGGCAACCCAGGAAGGACAGCACACCCATGTTTTCTGCACCTCTGAATGCTGGATTGCGTTCAAGCTTTTCAGAAAAGAAAAGGAGCTTCAAATGCAAAATTGAAGGCTGTGCACACCTACAGGCTAGAGCTGTATTTTCGTTGGTTGTACTTTGTACCTAACTAATCACCTGCCTGCATTTATAGAGCTCAGAGCAGCTCCCAACCGTTCAGAACCCAAAACATCCAAGAGAAATCAGATGGACAACAAAAGTAAGAACCAGTTGTAATAGGTACAACCGTTCTTAAAAACCAGAGGGCCACTCGTAAAGTAATCTTCAGCCTTGCAGTTCAGGAGTGTGCTGGAACATTTTTTAAATCATAGCAAGGTGACGAAAGGCAGTGAGGAGGAGATGAAGGCCCTCTCCTGTCTCCCAGCCGGCCATGGCTCCACCCACGGTGGCCCCTCTGCAGCCCATCTTATGGAGGTCCCTGTGGATCCAGGGCCCAGTCTTCCCCAGCTCCTCCCTCAAGATATTTTGGACTCCAGCTTGCATTGGCCCCAGGCTGCAGGGCGAAAGGCCAGGAATTCTGGGAGCTGTAGTCCAAAACATCTGAAGGACACCTGCTTACGGAAGGCTAATTTAGAGATCTGTGACTTGTGCCTGGAAACGGAGAGATAAAATGTTCTCACGAGCATCCTTCCTGTTGTGTCTTGAGCCAAATGAAGCTTCCAGAGAGCCTTCAGAGGCAGCTCCAATAATATGCCGAGCTAGCTGCAATAGCCTAGTGTGGAAGTAGTGAAGGGCCGTCAGTCTTCCTAAACTGGGGACAGTTGCTGCAAGATCTTCAGCACTGTCCTGCCTAACCCTGTCCCGCCGTTGCCGTCTGATTCCCCATGCACAGGGTTAAAGCCAGGAATACTCCCAAGCAGCAACCCCAAGGGGAGCGCTGGCCCTTCCAAGACAGGCTGAACCCCTAGCCCAGGATGACTCTGTCTCTTTAGCAGGAACATCTTTGTCTGCATTAGACTTCAATTTCTTTTACTAATTAATGCTGCTTGCTTACTGCACTCCCATACTGGCCAACAGCTGAAGCCCACGAGCTGCCTCACTTCAGAGAGCGAAGCCCCCAGGCAGGGCTGTTGCCACTTCCCAGCACTGAACCCGAACCTGCGCTTGCAAATCTATGCCAGGTCAGTCTGAGGTCAGACCACATATCCTGGCTGGTTTTATAGTATCTGACATAGTCTTTAGGAGCAGACTCGTACCAGTGTAGATACACATGCATTTAGTTACTTAACATCTTTGTTTTGGATCATTTCCCCTTTTGCTCGTGTTTGCACAAACATGTGCACCGAGTACTCAGAGAAGTCACATTTCATACTTCGACATGCCAAACATTCACACACTGCCTGAGTGGTATCTACTCCCTTCTTTGCTGGCTCCTCTTCCAGCTCCAACACATGGTTCTCCCTGGGGCTTGTTTGTGTCTTGACATTTTTAACAAACACTTGAGTGGGTGGAATGCTTATAAACACAGGCAATCGCGAAGAAAGGCTCATTTTGATTAAGTAAAGCCAGAGCTGCTACAGCCTATACTAGAACAATAGATTTTATTATAACTGCTTAGGGATTTTATTATATTCAGTGGTATATAATTATTAGCAACAAATATTAAATAGCAATGGCAATTTCAAAAATGACAGCTTGCATTCAACTTGACCCCGCAACATTTTGATTTTTGGAGTAAATTGGCAGTCGGCAAAACCTTTTTTTTCTCCCAGGCTGCTTGTACTTTGATAGCTCATTTAGAGATAAGAAGGCCTATAAAAACCTGAAAAAATGAGGAAAAACATGTTTTTCCAAAAATTCAATTTAAAAAACCTGAAAAATGGCTTACAAAATACTGTTTAAAATCATTATAAAATGTTTAGGACAAGGTCTTTATATTGCTGACATGTACTCCCTCAAAATGATTTCTAAGTGCGCAATGCAAAAATGTTTATGTCAAACTGGAAATGTATACCATTCAGGAAACATTGACATCCTTGGGGAAAAGGGTTTTTCTCTGAAGCTTCCAGGGGTGTTTTTCTTCCATTGCCTTATTCAAAGCATCAGTCTAATGCAGTTTTCCCCTACCTGTGTCCTCCAGGTATTTTGGACTTTAGCTCCCCTCGAGGCTGCCAGCGTGGACAATGGTCAGGAAAGCTGAGAGCTATGACCTTCCCCATGTCACAACCCACGGGGGAGGCTGATCTAATGCATCTTTCATTGACAGACATATAGAGATGCCCCAAATCCCCACTCAGTTTCCTAACCGGTGTCCAGGCTGGACCAGGTGATACCCTAATTCTTCCTTTGCACCTTTTTAACTTGAGGAACAGGAGAGCTAATTAGGGTGTTGTCTCCAAAGTTTCCATTTCCGGGGTTTTGAGTTTTGGTCAGTGTCTATGGAAATGAGCTCAGCGGTGGGAACTAGCAAAGTTGGATTTTCTTCCAGTCCCCGTCCTGGAATATGAAATGTTTCTCTACTCAGACAATGCCTCTCTTTGTTTTAGGTATCTAAACCACGTCCGAGCTGCCTCCCTGCAGGATCTTGCTGGTGGCTACACTTCCTCCCTGGCTTGTCATCGAGCCCTTCAAGATGCCTTCAGCGGGTTGTTTTGGCATCCCGGTTAGCTTGGGAGTAACTGACACTGGAGCGGAGTGAGTGGAGCAAAACCTCAGGTGAAAATTGCTGCCGTCTGCACAAGAGCTAAGCTGCCGTAATCTCTCTTTCTCTTAAAAAGGAAAAATTGTGAAGCCAGCTGTGCATATGTATTAAAATTCACTGTACAGAAACTTTCTTTAAACATGGTGGCCGTGTGTGTTCTTTGTGTGTTGAGTAAGGGTGGGACCAAGGAACGCTGTACGTCGCTTTGCAGAACGGCTAATGGAAGATGTGAATAATCAGTTTGTTTTGTGTGCTTGAGGTTTCAGAAACAAACTTGTAAAAAGTTTTAAAATAAATCCAGATTTTTTATTATTAAATTCTGTGGTTTCTATCCCCACTTAGGGTTTTATTTGCACAAGCACTGAAATGCTATTTTGATTAAAATTTTTATAGTGTCACTCTGCAGTAAGCACAAAGCCATTTCTTCTCATAAAACCAGATTCTCTTAATGCAAACAAATGGGTTTTCCTTCCTTCGAGCATGAGACAAAAACTGGAGACGTGCTGACTTCTCTCCTAATCTATCCCACCTTGTTTGTGTCCTTGATGATGAATGTTAGAACCGTGCTCTCGTGAAACACACCAGCTCGGAAATAAACAGTTGCAGGCCGGGATCCAAAGCCCTGCGATCAGTTAGAGCTCCGAGTATGAGAAATCATGTCCAGCCATTCCTCCACATAAAGTCGGACAACGGTTTTCCCCTCTCCAGGCCCCAGGCTGGAAGGACTGGCTGGGGACGTTTGATGCACCTGCAGCAGACAGCCCAGGACTGTACCTGCACAGGCAGGCACATGTCATGCCTGGAGTTTGCACAACGCACAGCTTGTGCAAGGGGCCCCCTGGCTGCACCAGTTGGGGGAAAAGACTCAAAATGTCTACGACCATCTTCTTTCAGCCTGTCCTCCTCCATCTAACAGGTGGATGTTCTGGTATTCTATGTAATAATAATATCCCATTACTGTTTGAATCTCTCATTCAAACACTTATTAGTTGCTTAATTGCAGCGTTTGATGTTGCTAGTCCATTATCTCTGCAACCCAACCCAGCTGTGGTAAGATAAACAGAGAAACAACAGACTTAGTTTACTGAGGTGCTGCTGGAATTTGTAAAACTGAATCGGCTTTGGGGCTGTGCATTAGAACAAGGAAAGATGTTCCCCTTTCCCAGGAAAACCTGGATAAGCAGCATGCACTGACATCCTGGTGCCTTTTGCTTTCTGTGGATGGATGCAAACCATGTATATCAGCAAGGTTATTTCTGCTAATGCGTACAAGGAAGAGGTGATGGGATTTAGCGTGCTGACTGGGGTAGGGAGCATTAGGTTCAAATATCTGTTTGCTGGTGCCTCAGGCTCAGTCACTCGCTCTTAACCTATTCTGCTTTGCATTGTTGTTCTACATATCACATCAGAACCTTTTGAATTGTGCTGGGAAAGGATATCACACGCTCCCTTACGATGCTCTCCTTCTTGCTGCGTCGGAAGCCACCTGAAGCTTCCCAGAGTCTCTCCAAAAGGAGCCTGAAAAGTAAGTTGAGCTAGTTGCAATGCCTAGCCTGGAAGTAGCAAATGGTTTCAACCTGGTGCACCTCCGTCAGAGCTTGATCTCACTTTGACTTCAGCATTTAGGTCTTGTCTTTTCTCAATTCTAGCACACAATCAAAAAAGAGCAACTGGACCAATGTCTCTTTTCTCCCCTATATTTGCATACACCATGTAGGCATGACAAGTACCAAAAGGGCAGTCCCTGCTAATGGCTATCCCCGAAGGAGTCTCTAAGCTCTTGACACACCTATTTCTTTGGCACACAGTATTTATGTACCACCAAGTGTAAGTCCTAGAGGAGATCAACCCTGACTGCTCTTTAGAAGGCCAGATACTGAAGATGGAACTCAAATGCTTTGGCCACCTAATGAGAAGGAAGGACTCCCTGGAGAAGAGCCTAATGCTGGGAACAATAGATGGCAAAAGAAGAAGGGGATGCAGAGGATGAGGTGGCTGGATGGAGTCACTGAAGCAGGTGGTGTGAGCTTAAGTGGACTCCAGGAGATGGTGGAGGACAGGGAGGCCTGGAGGAATGTTGTCCATGGGGTCGCGATGGGCGGACATGACTTTGCGACTAACAACAGCAAACCACCAAACGATGAAAATTCTCTTGATTTGATTACAAGAGGACCTCTCTTCATTTGTGGATCTTTCTCAGAGGGGGTTGGGAGGGACACTGAGGAAGAGAACGAAGTGAGCAAGAGCCCCCCCTCCCCTGGTGCAATCCTGCTCTGTCCTCTCACAGCATCAGAACAGGGTTAAAGAACTGAAGTCCCACCCCTTCCTTATAAGGGGTTCTTCCGGGCCAAAGATGAGGAACGATTGCACTACAGGCCTTTCTGAGAAATCGCCGCAAAGCCTCCACTGCAGAAGAACACCCTCTCCTTTGACCTGGATCCTCTTTAGGAACTCTCCTGTCCCTCAAGATGGATCTGGCTAAAATTTTAAGACCCCCACACCCTCAACTGCAAAAGAACAACACGGAAGCAGATCTTGTCAAGATCTTTTTACCTGCTTCCATTAACTTTGCCAGTTTCTCACTGACCAGTGAATGACTGCACACAACTGGAACAAAAGGGGCTACCAGAAAATATGAATTTTATAATCTTTCAAAGAAGAAGAATGGACCCATCATGGAATTAAAAAGAATCAAGATGCATAAGTGGCATAGGAATGGGACAACTGTAAAACCAGCTTTCACAGACCCAGCTGCCCAGAAAAGTCCAGATGAACTATCTGGCCCGCCCATCTTGAAAGACGAGGTTCCGTTTAGCCATCATTTCAGCCGTGATATCCAGAAAGCCTACTAGACCCGATTCAGGGATTCCTCGGGAGAGTCTTCATTTGGGCGCAGGCGTTTAGATGCTGGCTCCTGCAGGTTATCTGTACCTACAAGGTTAAGAAAACAACAGACTCTCTGAATCCCTACATTTCTGGGACTGCTTAAGTTTCTCTGTGTCCCTGGGGCACTGTCCTGAGCAGGCTCATGCGTGGCAGCTTCCCCATGGCCAGGCACTCCTTGCGCCACCAAAACATGTGAAGGTTTGTTGTGGCATCAAAGCAGCCTGGTTCCCCATGTGGCAGTGGAGGCCGTGGTCAAATGGTGACCTGTCGTGTGATGGTGCAGGCAGCAATTTGAGGGGCTGCCCAACTGGGGAAGAAAAAAAGCAAGCCGGAACTCGGGAACAAAATTAAAAACCACACATTCAAATCTGCCATGAACTGTCCCACAAGGCAGCTGTGGGGAAAAGGAGGGAGAGATGAGCGATAAGGACAGGATCTTGGGAAAGGATGCGTGTGAACCGGAGCATTTTGGCCCCCCTCTCATGTTCCCAATGGAGTCTTCCTGTGCCTCTGGAAGCCTTGCCTGAAATTCAGGGACTCTGCAGCAACATTCAATACAAGTTAAGCGGCTGTAGTTAGACAGCCCTGCATGCAAACCCACAGGGCTCTGGAATTCAGCCTCCCGGAACAAGCCCTGAACAAGTCTGAGGTGGCAGAATTTCACCAAGCATCCAAGCGGCCACATCACACATTCTTACAGGATATGTGTATGAAAACTGCACATGGAATGTACGATGAATGCGCACACATTTGTTTCACCACATATACATGCACACAGAAGCTATGACTGGTTGAAGCTTCCCCACATGACACTGATGCGTGGTTGTCACCAGTTATTTATGGCCCAAAGTTATTTATGTCTCCTCTGCACAAAATGCTGTCCATACCTAATGGCTAATGCGAGACAAGAGACCTACTTTGAAGCATAAGGAACCCTGCGAAGCAACTTCGTCTCTCCCTGTAGCAAATTTACCTGCCAGAGAAGAAGGTGGCCGGAACAACACCTCAGCCGGAAGCCGGAAGCTAATGCAGAACATGTCCTTATTGGGCGCCACCCTCCTCACCAGTTCAATGGAACAAAGGCCCTCCAGGGATGTTTCCAAGCAAGCTTCAACTCTTTCCTGAACAGCCTGTGCAGGACTGCCGTCTTTGGAAAAGCAGTAGCAATGGACTGTGGGAAGCGCGTTGCTGACTGGCGCTCCCTCCAGAAGGTGTCTGAAGACATCCAGGAACTCAATGGCCATGGCTGGCAAGTTCATGACAATATGCAGAGAGCTCTCCCGCTCCTTCAAAGGGAGCTGCTTGGCCAGTTCTTCCTTCACTGGCCCCCGCAGGAAATCTCTGCCATCCATGTTGAAGACCTTGACTTTTTTGTCCACTTTGTTTAACTTACAGTTGTGCTGCAGCCATTTATAGGATTCCGGGTTGAGGTCGTTTGCAAAAACCACACAGTTCTTCTTTGCTGCGGGGATCGCAAACGGCCCCACCCCTGCAAAGACGTCGAAGAGAAGGTCGCCCGGCTTCAAGAAGTCAACGATACGTGTGTGCTCTGTGGAGAGGCGGGGATTCCAGTACACTTTGGAAAAATCGAATTCGTAGGAGCAGTAGTGCTCCTTCACCTGCAGAAGGAAAAAATACTGGATTGATCTCTAGGAAGAGCAATGTTACTTTATAGCTAAGATTACACCTGAGAATTGGTTCCTTCCCCCTTACTGCTTATGGAAAGGCAGAGCTTCAGGAGCCTAAGATTTCATGGCCTGAAGCATGGACTTCAGGATGCAAAAGAGGTTATGGATGGCAGTCAGAAGGTAACCCTGTACCAGAAACGTGTTACAGGTTTCTGTTCTGACGACCTTCTGTATAAACCTGTGGGACTTACTGCCAGGTAAGTATAAACAGGATCAACATGTACAATTGTGCTGGTTGACCCTGGTCACTCTTGCCAGTCCTCCCTTTCCTCTCCACTCTCCTGCCACAGCAGAGGAAGACCCTGGAGCTGCGACCCGCTAATCCATAAAGCTCCATGGGCCCCGAGAAAGATGACTGTCTACAAAAAGCTATCTGTGCATCTGAAGACCTCCAGTATCAGAGGACTATGCCTGTGTTGCATGGAACACAAGCAAAAGGGTGCTCTTGAGTTCAGGTCCTGCGGTGGGCTTCCCATGGGCATCTGGTTGCCGATCCGAGAACAGAACCCTGGACTAGACAGAGCCTTGGTCTGATTCACCACGGCTGCTCTTATGCTGTTATGGCACCAGAACCAAAGAAGGTAGGGAAGTGGGGAGTGGAACAGCCAAGCCAAGCCAAGCATGCTGTTTCCAGCTCCTTGGCTGCTGTGTCTGCTCAGGGGCATTCCCAATCAAAGATGGTGGGTGCCTTCTCCGCTCACCCCTTGGGCTCACTCCCTCCGCCACTGTTTGTCAAAGTGGGCAGATCTCAGAGCTGTGGAAGCGACTGAGTGGGAAGATCTCACCACCCTGGTTTGAAAAGAACAACTTTGTATCCTGAAGCACCAGCTGCTTTCCCTCTGTTCAGCTTTATTTACAAGGTAGGTGAAGCAAACGAACTCTGCAAGGTAGCTTGAGAGCTAAAAAGTAGGGTTTTCACAGGAAGGGGTGCAGCATTCGTCACATTTTTAACTTGAGCGATGACTTCTGGGGGTAAAATCCATACATTTATTTGTTTAATATATGTATATAATGCTGAACTTCTTTGAAGTTATCTCAGTAGTTATTGACATCACTGTCTAGATATATCGACTATTTCATTCAAAATTTCCATTTCATTTCATGTTTTCAGTGACAGGGTTGGATCATGCCCTCCAGCCTAGTGCTTTTGGTGGGCAGAGGCTGTTCCAGATGTGGCTGCCGGTCAAGACATAGTGCTGTGCATACGCCTCTTCCATGGAGAAATCAGCTCCCCCGTACAAGGCGTACCATATACATCAGCCACAATTCTTGCTACAGGAATCACATTCTTTACCTGGTTTCTTCAAGCAAAAATACACAAACACTGAGCAAGAAAGTCAGTGTATTTCTGCTGGAGTCCCCACTCCCAAAATGTATGTGGTTTCCAAGCTAGTGTTAAAATGAGTATTTTTGCAAGAGTTCATTAACATCTTAATACTGTGGTTTTAAAAAATGAGCTATAAATACAGTCCCCACTAATCTCCCACTCTTCCTACCAGAGTCTTAAGAACAGAGTTGTGATTTCATTCAGGCTAGACAGGGACACTTGGGAACGTATGAAGCCTGCCAAGTCTGTAGAACCGACAGGAAGGCAAGCATTAATATCTTCGGTTGCATCATTGCACAATGTCTGCATTTCACGTTGTCTGCTTTCTTAATGTCCGGTTTTTTAAAAACCCTCCTTTTGTTACAAGAAAACACTATTAAAAGCCCTGGTACCTTGGTTATCATATTAGTCTCATCTCCAGCTAGCACTTCCATTTGAAAGTTTCGATATGCATTCTCAATATTATTGATTTTATTGACAGCACAGGTGATCCCTTGGTTCTTGTCAATGATCACTTGGCCTGGAAGAGAAGCAGGCAGTGTCACATCTGCATTTTAAAACCATAAAACCACAAACACAAATAATGAAAGTTGGGCTTTCTTTTCTTTTAAAGAAAGAACAATTGTTTTGGCTATGTATCTCCCAAAACTGCACTGAACTTGCCCAGGACTGTAGCAAATTCCTTGCTCTCCTCTAATCATAAGAGGGTATCAGTAACCCTTTTTGCCCCAAGGAGGTAGCTTCCCATGGAGAATTTGTGGTGTGTGCTCGAACAATAGAGGGGGTACGGACATGGTGCCCTCTTCTTGCTTTAAAAGGGAAACAGAAGGGGAAGAGCAGTGTAGAAGTTAGGAAAGCCTTCTATAAAGCTGTGTAAAGCTAAAAGGCTTGTGGCATCTTAACATCACACAATTTCTTTACTAGCATGCGCTTTGGATGGCATGTCTTTTATCAGATGCCTTGAAAAACCCATGCCACAATGAATGTTCTAGGTCTTTCAGCTCCAACAACCCGCTGGTTTTTTTTCCCTGCAATTGATTAACACAACCACGCTTCTGATTTTTATGATTTATTCTAAAAATAGAATTTAAATTGGCTGGTTTCAGAATTTGGGAATTCTTTTGCTAAGGGGTTAGACAGGGAGCCTGTTCAAGTTAAGGCAGGGAAGAACGCTGGAACTCATGGGTCAGTTAATGTAATACCTTCATTAAGCCATCTAAACGATCAGGAAAAAAAAGTTTCCTTCCTCTATCAAAGATTGGGATGAAAAGATTTTGAATACTTCAAAAGCTTGCACATTTTTGTCATCTTTGAATAGACATAATAAAAGTGGAATTTGAATTTTTCCTTTAGGCTAAAGCAACTGCTTTTGTTTTTGTAACTCTTTACATATATCTTAACTGAGAGAGGTCTAATATCTTTGCAATCTTATGCTCCCAGGGCAAGTGTCCCAGGAACCATATGATTGCTAAGGGAATTGCTTCCAGTCAGAGAGCACTCTGACCTTAGCAAGTGGAATCAAATATTTGATACAAAGGGAATCAAAGATTTCTGTGCTTGTGCCTTGCACAGAAAGAGCCCTGCTGGCTGCCTCACCAAGGTTGGAAATTGACCTCAGAGAAGCGGGGAAGGGGCTATTCTGAGTGGAGGGGTCAGAAAATGATGTATCTGAAGTCATCTTCAGCTTCCTTCCCTCCCTCTCCAAAGTGCCCTTATCAAAGAGTCGAAAAGTCCATCTAGTAAAAAGAAAGAAGACTGAGGTTGGAAAGACAACCTTCACCTTTGCTACTCTTCTTACTCTGGCAGTTTCAGCTCAACTGGCCAGTTTTCAGCCAGTTTTTGCGCCCTTAATCACTTTCCACTCCTTTATGGAAAACAGGCAAAGTGCTCACAGTAGACTATCTTACCCAGGCATTTAGAAACCTGGCTGATTTTCATGCCCAAAGCACTGAATGATGCTTTAAAAAGTAGCAGCTGTATAACCACCACCAAGATGAGGACTTCTGCCAACATCTCCCATGCATGGTGCAAGTCTTCACTTACCAATTAAATGTTTGTAAGGCAGCTGATGGTCCCTCAGATTCAGGTGAGCGATATGACCGACTCTGCTAAATGCAGTGGTCACTTCCTGGCCTTCAGGAAGCACTGCCTGCAGAATTTCATCTGCCTTGAAATGAGCATATGTCAGTTCCACGTTGCATTTGACTATCTCAGGGTTAACATTAAAGCTCTTTAAGATCTCTTGCTCAGATTTACCCAGGGAACAGTCAGCAGGTATTTGCTGAGGATCTAGCAAAATTAACCTTTGGCTTTCATCTTCAGGGTCTTCCACCACTCTTTTGAGACCAGGGCGCTTGATGAGCAGCCCTTTGAGGGCCTTTGCCAGCTTGTTTATGATATCTTTCTTCACTTTAAGAGCTGGGATGACGACAACTCTGGTGAAAGCAGCCCTGTCCAGGGTGGTCATTCCCCGTACTCTAGGATGTGGCAAGTTCAGGTCAAGGTCAACTTTCTTGTCAATCATCTCCGGCATGGTTGAGAAACTATTTCTCTGAATTTCTCCAAGGCGCTGAGGCAGTCGATTAAGAGGCCGGCCCAAATATGTCCAGACAGATGGAAATAATGTATGTGATGTAGCTGATTCAAAATATTTCACTTTCAGGAGTCTAGCAAATAAGCTGTTTAATTGCCTGCAAATCCAAAAGGGAAAGTATTCATTTTATAGACATTATGTAAGTGTTCAGACAGAAATGCTTTACATTTGCATGTTTGTCCTGATCTCATAAAATCACTTCCACTTGTATGAGATTATTCAAAATCTTACCTTTGGGTTATAGAGGACAGACAGATGTGGCAACAAATTAGAGCTTTGCCAGGGGAAGGAAACCTCATCAACGGCTCTCCTGATAAATTGCCCATGATTTGACAAATGCACCGTGGCTTAATCAGCAGAGATGTGTCTCATTTACCTGCACGTGTTGCCTGCTCTGTCTTCCCTTCACTGTGCACAACAAACCTGAAAGTCTCCAGTTAACTATACTTGCCTGCTTTGTTCAAACTAAAATGATGGTTCTTGGTTCCAAACAAGCCAGGAGACCAACTTCTAATCACAGTTTAAGATCCTGGCCTCTTCTGGACCCAGGTGCCCTAGCTTCCTAGTGCCAAGAGGAGAGGGGCTGGCTCTGTGCCCATGCAAAAGGCTCATGCATACGGAGTCAAGATGTGATCGTCCAAAGCAGGCCAACTGCACAAACTGTGCCAGCCCTGTACACAGACATACCTGTGCAAATGATACTACTAATTGTACTACATACTACAGAGAGCCTCTGATTATGGGACAGCATACAAATGCAATGACTGACTGACTGACTGACTTATTTTCCTCTTAGCATTGTACCAGACTGAAGGGACACCCAATGTTATACACTGTGGCTGTTTTCCAGCCAAGGTGCAGAAAACATGGTACTGTCAACTCCCTCAAAGTATTATACATATGCCATTTGAATGAATTTAAGCATACACAAAATCTTTGCCATATAGAAATCCTTCTCTTGCAGTTCTCGGGACAAAATTAGATGCTTCCTGCAAAATAAGATGTACTTGGGGCTTGTGGGCAGTGACTGAAAAAGCACTTGCTGGGCAGCAGGGGTCGGGTTCAAACTATCGGCAACAGCACCATCACAGATGTTTGAAAAGCTCTTACCAGTCCTTTGCTTTTGATGTGCTCGTCATTCTTCTGATACTGCTTGCTTTATTTATGTATATCCTGCCCTTTTTCTTACAAAAAACTCAAAGTGGCTTGCATCATTCTCCTCCTGCTGCTCTCAATCTTATTCCCACAACAACAACCCTGTGAGGTAGGTTGGGCTGCAATCTGCGACTGGCCCAAAGTCACCCAGGTGGCTGCATGGCTGAGCGAGGACTTGAACCCAGATCGCCTGAGACCCACATTCTTAACTGCTACCCCAACACTGGCTCACAAGTATGCTTTGCACAAAATGTGGGGCTACTGACAGGTTTCCATTTTAAATTATCCTCTTCCTCTCAGCATACCCAGACAGGAGAGTTGCCTCAGGACAGGCCTCAAATGCTCAGCACTACAATTCCCATAATCCCTGACCATTGGCCATGCTGCAATGGTCTTATGGGAGCTACAAATTCAAAACATTCAGAGGGTTCCAGGTTGCCTACCCCTAAGGCCTTTTTTATTTATTTAAAGTTTTCATATAAAGGTAAAGGTTTCCCCTTGACATCATGTCCAGTCATGCCTGACTCTAGGGGGTGGTGCTCATCTCCGTTTCCTGGCCGAGGGAGCCAGCGTTTGTCCGCAGACAGTCTCCGTGGTCATGTGGCCGGCGTGACTAAACACCGAGGTGCAGGAACGCTGTTACCTGCCCACCGAAGTGGCACCTTTTTCTCTACTTGCATTTATATGCTTCTGAACTGCAAGGCTGGCAGGAGCCGGGACGGAGCAATGGGAACTCACCCCGTTGTGCAGATTCGAACCGGCGACCTTTCGATCAACCAGCCCAGCAGCACATGGTTTAAACCACTGCGCCACCTGCAGTCCCAGTTTTCATACACTAAATACAAAATTTCCAATACTATAAAGTCTCTGGATGGCTTACAAAAATAAAAAACAAAACAAAGCAACCATGAGTTACAGGAAAGGCACCATAAGAACATGAACATACCTGACAGAACACCTTTTCTGTTTGGGGGGCTTTCTCATATTGCCATTTCCAAGGGAAGCTCGGAGGGTGGCAACAAGCAGAAGAGCCTTTTCAGTGGCGGCCCCCTAGTTCTGGAATGAGTTCTCCATTAAGGCCCACCAGGTGCCAACTTTACTACCTTTTCAGCACCAGGTAATACCATTCTCTACTGCAGGGCATTTAATTAGTTACTGGGGCCTGCTGGTTGTTAGACAGCATTTAACAGGATCGTTTTAATATATCATTTTGTTTATTGGTTTTTAGTTGGTTATACATTTTGTATTGCTAACTTTTATGATGCTTTAATGTTTTAATTGGTATAGTTTATGTTGATTTTAAATATGCTGCTATGAACTGCTAAAAGACTTTTGGTTGTTGGGCTGTATAGAGATTAAATAAATAGATGAATCAACAAAATTAACACCCTGCTAGACCAGACCAGGGCCCATCTGCTTCAGCATTCTGTTCACACAGGGGTCAACCAGATGCCCACAGGAAGCCAAAAGCAAGACCCTCCATAAGGAAGTGCTGGGGCATGTATAATATTTAGACTACCCCAAACCATAAAGCATTTAGAGCTAGCTCTCTTAGAAGTGACAGTGAGATTTAGCCCAAGTTTCTAAGCACAGTTACTCAAGAGTAATTGGACAAATGGGTCTGTTTTATAGGTATTGTAATAATATTTGGAGCACCTGTATCATCACTTGACACTTTCTGGTTTATTTCTGCATTTTATTTATTTTTATTTATTAAAAGCTTTTCTATCCCGTCCCCTACAGAACATATGACTGTTTGCCTAAAAGAGGCCAGCTACTTGCAGTAGCAAATTGTAGATTTTGGATGACATTTCCTTCCAGTACCAACAGTTTGATATTATCTTGGGGTGGTTTAAAGCAGAGGCTAGGTGGCTACTAGGAATGCTCTAACTCAAGGATGAGGAACATGTGTGGCCTTCCAAATATTCCCATAATCCTTCACTCTTGGCTATGCTGGCCAGGGCAGATGGGAGTTGCAGTCCACCAACATCTGGAGGACCGCACGGCCCTCATGCCTGCTCTTGCACTAGATTTCCTGCATCCAACAGGAGTTTGAACTGGATCAGGAGCGGCTGGCCCTCCAGATGTTCTTAGATCCTAGCATCTGGAGAACTACAATTCCCTGCACTGCACGGCTTAGATGGCTCAGGCCGGTGGCCGACCTAAAAGTTCTGGGGAGGAAGGGAGGGCAGTTCATCTAGTTTGAAAGCCTTTTCAAGGTCAAGCTGTAAACTATTTTTAATTATTTGCCTGTAAAAATGGGGGAGGGGGCAGCCCTTCCAGCCGATGCCTGGCCACAGATTCTCCCAGTCCACGAGCCCGCCCTTACGTATCTATCAATTCATGCCCTTAGGCATGTGCAGAGTGCACTTGCCAGATCGGCTGGGCAGAAGCCACCCCCCGCGGGCCCCCTTCCCCTCGCCGCACTGCAGAGCGGCGAGCGTGGCCTCCACGCGGCCGGCCTTCCGGCCCGGCTCCCCCTCGGCAGCAGGGAGGCCGGGACGGGCGGGAAGGGGCCGGGGAAGCCGTCCCGCCGCCGCCGCCGCCGCCGCCTCACCTCATGCCGGCCGGCCCGCGCCGCGTCCCGCAGGCCCGCCAGGCCCAGCCTTCCTCCGCCGCTCATCATCACGCGTCGCCGGCCGAGGAGGAGGAGGCGCCGCGGCCGCCCCGCCCGACTCGCCCGCCCCGGCCCTCCCCTGCCCGGCAGAAGCGCCGCCCCGCCGCGCCGGGCCGCTTCCCTCGCCGGAGCGCCATGGACGTGCCGCGCGCCGCGAGCGTCAACGCCGAGCCGGGCTGGTACTTGTCGGCTCAGGAGGCGGACGAGGGCGCCCCGCTCCTGGCGCCGCCGGGCCGGGTGCGTGTCGGGCGGCCGGAGGGAGCGGCGGGCCGGGGCTGCGCCCGGGTCTCCTTGGGGGGGAAGGCGGTGGGCAGGGGGAGAGGAAAGAAAGAAAGGAGGGAGGGAAGAAATAGAGAGGGAAGGAAGAAGGAAAAGAAGGGAAGGGGAGAAAGGAAGAAACAAGGAAAGAGAGAAGGAAAGGAATGGGGGAGGAAAGGAAGAAAGAGGGCTTCCCTCTCCGCCTCACCATTTCCTTCGCCTCTGGCCCCTGCTGCGTGGTAACAGCATTTCTTCTTTTGGTGGGTCTGTTCCTCGCATCCTATCATTTCCTCCAGGAAGCCCAAGGCAGTGCTCTCTTCTCTTCATCTGTCTTCACAAGAACCCTGCGAAGCAGATTAGACTGAGAGTCAGGGACTTGTCCAGTCACCTTTGTGGCCACATGGGGAACTGATCCCAGGGCTCCCCAATCCCAGTGCAGTATTTTAACCACTGCACCACACTAGCGCTACACGCACTCTCTTTTTAACACCCTGATTTTGCCCAACCTTCCCCTGAGTTGCTTAGGTTGATGCTCCCGGGGTGCTGACTCATGTTATCCTCCTAACAACCTACCTGTGAGGCAGATTAGGTTGAGAAGGCCACCCACAGAGTTTTAGGGCTGAGGGGCTTGAAGCCACCTCATCTCCTGAGCTCACCTTGTATCACCAATATGTGAAAACCTACAGCCCCACAGAATGGATGCAAATAGCACCCCCCTCTAAACATCCCGAGAACCCCTTTGCACAGCCGCGTGGAAATTCACAGCCCTATAAAATATGGGCACTAAGCTCCTCAGTTCACATTATTTAGGATTAAAATGTTAGATATGCCCCCTGTAGCCAGATGCTGGGAGCCTTGCAATGTTGAAAGGAAAAGACTTCATCCCCTATCTGCATACATTGACCTAGTTCACAGATAACAATAACCCCAAGCACAAGTTGAATTGTGAGTTGTTGGTAAATCATGGGGTGTTGCTGAGTTGTGGGTTGTTAGATTAAAACATTGCTCCATGGTTTAATGATAGGTTATTAAGCACTCACCACTCAGAGTTTGTGACATGAAAACAAGCCATGGTTTCTCTTCTTGGGTAGTTTGTGGCTGACAACTCCTAGTTAAACCTTCATGCAGGGTTTACACTTGGTGGCAACCTATAATTCAAGGACAGCACATTAGTCCCAACCTGTCTGCAGACCAGACCAATGCTACCGCCAAGCCTGGACAGCAGTTCTGCATGTCCCCTGAGCCGCAGAGCATGTACACCTCACAGTCCCATAGAAAAAGCATCCCTCCCTTGTGCCTTAGAAGTGCATAGTACAGGAATACTCCTGTAGGCCGTTGCATTCCCAGGCACTGAACCCACCCTCTACGTTACCCTAGTAACACAGACGTGCCTCATAGCCCTGTGGAACAGATGCACACACTTCTTCACCAGTCCTGTAGTATTCACCACAGAAGCACACTTCCATACTGCATTGCACATTACAGATATCTTACTGTCCCACAGAATCAGCACCTCCTACAAGTGTTTCTCACAGTCCCCCAGAACTGGAGTTAACTCATATCTCAGAAGAGTTCCCTAGAAGAGTGTTTGCCCACTTCCAAACTGATCATAGCATGGACAGCCTCCTTATAGATCATAATGCACAGCAAAACACCACTGTGCTTATATGTTCCTTATGTAATGAACAATTATGATAGATTTGGCCTGTCCATGCCATTCTTTGCGACTCAATGTCGTAGAGTTCCTGAAGCATTCTTCTTACTGCCATGTGTGGTGGGGAGTGGGAGAGGAAAGATCCCCCTGAACCCGTAGAATATTCTTCCTCCTGATCTGTATGTTACAGATCTTCAATAACATTTAGTTTCCGTTTTAGTATTCTGATAAATTACATGGAATAGGACTAGCATGGGTTTAATCTTCACACAGGCATACCCTTTTTCTTACTTACAAAGTCAAGGAATAGAACTTCTGGAATTAAAGTTGGGAAGCTCACATTTTTTAGGGATAGATCTGATCATTTTGATTTCTAGGAAATTCTTAACAACAAAAGATTTGATTCGAAAAGATCCAAGCACTGTCGTGAATTTTCTAGCTATATAAGATTTCATTTTTTTGAGAACATTTTTATTTTAAAAACAGATCAACAGCATTTAGAATCATAGAGTAGCAGAGCTGGAAGAGGCCAAGAAGGCCATCAAGTCCAACCCCCTGCTGTTGCAGGACACCAGTTTACACCATCCCACTCAGAGGGCTGCCCAGTTTCTTGTTGAATGTTTTCAGTGTGGAGTCCACCACCTCTCCAGGCAGCTGGTTCCACTGTTGTATTGCTCTGACAGAGAGGAAACTTTTCCTGGTATCTAGCCTGCATCTGGCTTGTCTCAACTTGATTATTCCGTGTCCTACACTCTGGCATCAGCAAGAAGAGATCTTGATTTTCCTCTTTGTGACAGCCTTTGAGGTACTTATAGAGAAGTATCATGCCCCCACCCCTCAGTCTTCTCTTCTCAAGGCTGAACATGCCCAGTTCTCTCAGTCTCTCCTCACAGGACAGTGTTTCCAAACCCTGGATCATTTTTGTTGCCCTCCGCTGGACCCTTTCTAATTTTCCTGCATCTTTCTTAAATCTTGGTGCCCAGAACTGGACACAGTATTCCAGGTGAAGTCTGACTAGTGAAGAATATAGAGGAACTACTACTTCTCATGATTTGGAAGTAATACTTCACTGCATCCCAAAATAATATTTGCCCTTATGTGTCTACATTGCATTGTTGGCTCATATTTAGCCTGTTGTCCACAATTACTCTGAGGTCTTTTTTTTCCCAGTTCTATTGAGCCACATATTCCCCATCTTGTATCAATGCATTTGGTTTCTTTTTTCCTAGATGGAAGAATTGGCACTTGTCCTTATTCTGAATTGGCACTTGAATCTCATTCTGTTGCTTTCAGCCCAGTGTTCAAGTTTATCAGGATCACCCTGGACGTTCATTCTGTCTTCTAGGGCAGTGGTTTTCAACCTTTCCACAGTTGGGGACTGCCAAAAACAGGAAAGCCATCTTGGGGATCACTGAGGCAGAAACAAAAAGCACCATACACACCAATTAGTGGTCTGTTTATTAGTTTCTAAACTCAATACTCAAAAAATGAAAATTCTCCCAAACAACCAGAAACTGAGCAAAAAATAATGCCAACGAAAGAACAAAACACTGAAATGGGCGCAGCGTGGCTCCCAGCTGGCTCCCACCGAGCTGTGTCTCCCCTCCCTGCCCCCCAGCACTCCCCCCACAAATGTGATGGCAACCGAGGAGGAGGTGGTGGAGCACAGCCAGCCCTAGTGCCAACTCACGGCGAGCAGGATGCACCCCCCCCCACGGATGGACAAGAACTCTCTCACAGGCCGGCACGGTCCATGGACTGGTGGTTGAAAACTACTGTTCTAGGGTGTTTTTTGTCTAGGTACCCAGTTTTGTATCATCTGTAAATTTGATTATCTTTCTTTGTACTTCCTCATCTAAATCATTGTTGAACAGCACTGGGCCCAGGACTGAACCTTCCTCCCGTTTGAGAAGGTACCATTGAGGGCAACTCTTTGTGTCTGATTTATTAGTCAATTTTGGATCCACCTCGTTTTTCTATCTAGTCCACGTTTTGCTAATCTTCCTATCAGAATGTCGTGGGGCACTATGTTGAAAGCTTTGCTAAAGTCTAGGTAGATTATGTCCACATTGTTCCCCCTGTCCATTCAGGAGGTCACCCCGTCAAAAAGTGAGATTACATTAATCTGACAGGATTTATTTTTGATAAATCCATGTTGGCTTCTATTATTTATTTATATTTATTTATTTATTAAAACATTTCTATGCCTCCCCTTGCCAAAGCCTCGGGGCGGCTCACAGCATAAAATAAAATACAATAAAATACAAAAATAACAATATAAAATTAACAATATAAAATAAATAACAATATAAAAGTGATTATAAAACAATATTAATCACTACATTTTCTTCAAGATGCTTGCAGACTGATTTTTAAAATAATTTTCTCCGGAATTTGTCCAGGAATTGATGTCAAGTTAACTAGTCCGTAGCTCCCAGGTTCATATTTTTACCCCTTCTTGAAGATAGGGATGACTTTATTGTTTTTCCAGTTGTCACACTCTGCTCCTGTTTTCCAAGATTTATTGAAGATAATTGCCAGTGGTCATGAGAGTTGCACCACTAGTTCATTCATGACTCTGGGATGGAGTTCATCGGGCCCTGGAGATTTGAATGTGTTCCTTCCATCTGGGTATTCCTTGATCATTTGTCTGTCAATTTTGGGTTGCCATCTCTCACTTTCAGCTTGTACTTCCTCTTGCTTGTAGATTTTCTTGGAGAAGACTGCGGCGAAGTAGGAATTGAGCACCTCTGCCTTATCCTTGCTGTCTGTTATCATTCTGTCATCCACTTTAAGTAGCTGGGCACCCTTCTCTTTCGCCTGTCTTTTCTCCTGGATGTATCTGAAGAAGGCTTTCTTGTTCTTAGCATCCATCGCTATTCTCAGTTCATTTCCTGCCTTAGCCTTCCTGATGCCATTCCTACAATTCCTTGCTATTTTTTATGCTCTTCCTTTGTAGCCTGGCCCTGCTTCTACTTCCTGTACCTGTTTTTTTATTTTTTTATTTTATATAAAAAGAAGTTGGTCTTTTCTGGTTCTCCCTTTTTGTCCTCTGGGTCTGTATATTTGTTATACCCCCGTGAGCCCTTTGAAGGGATAAGGGCCTACCTATTTCATGCCAAACTCCCCTTGGCTACCCTGAGTTCTTAGCATATGTTAGGCTATAAATGTGTATTTAAATAGTACTCAGTATACTAGTTGTGATAGATTTTTATAAATATCTATTTAAATGGAATTTGTTGTGATAGTTTTAAAGAAATTTTGTTGCACTATGTCTGTTAAATGTCTCCTTATCTCTGTTAATTTTGCCCTTGAAATTTCCTTTTCCCCAATTGACAGTGTAACCATCTCTTTGGCTCCAACAGGGATCGTTGAATCATTTGTCACCTGGTACTTCATTTGGCTTCTCAGTGTTTAATTTAATGAATGCTATCATGGGCAGTGGAATCCTTGGACTGGCATATGCTATGGCTAAGACAGGAATAATTGGATTTAGGTATGTTTTTAAGGTCAGCTATATTTATAAGTGGTCTGGGGGAGTTTGTGGCATTGTATGTTAATCTTTTCTTAATTCCAGTAATACTGTGGATAAGAAGCTACTGTTATGGACAAAATACAGCCAAATGGAATGGTTTCCTGAAAGCAAAGCCTGCAGAGAACAGTGTTTTTCTCTTGATTTGTTCAATCTGTACACAAAACATACTGTAAGGATCCAGGGAAGGAGGAGTGAAAATTGGTGAAAGATACATCAATAATGTAAGATATCTAACTGATGCCATGTTACTGGCAGAAAGCAGCAGTGACGTGAAATGACTCCTGATGAAAATGGAAGATAGTGCTAAAGCAGGACTGCCACCGAACATTAAGAAAACGAAAATGATGACAATAAAAGAATTAGGCAACTTTGATTTCGACAATAAAAGAATTAGGCAACTTTAATTTCAACAATGAAGAAATTGAAACTGTAAAAGATTTTGCATGTATTGGACCAGTCGACCAGCCAAGAAACCTGTAGAAGACAGATTTGGAAGGGCAGCAGTAAAGAAACTAGAAAAGATCTACCCTTGATTAAGGACATTTCTCTGTGGCTCAAGGCCAAGCTCACCCACACCATTGTATTCCAGATCACTGTGCCTGAGTGTGAAAGCTGGCAGTGATAAAAGCTGAAAGAAGGAACATTGTTGTGTTCGAAACATGGTGCTGGAGGAGAGCTTTGGACCAGCAGAAAGAGAAACAAGTGGGTGTTGAATCTAATCAAGTCGGAACTTTCCCTGCAAGCAAAAATGACAAACTTGCAGCTGTCATACTTAATGTACATCATGAGAAGGCAAAATGCAGTGGAGGAAACAATCATGCTATGGAAAGAAGAAGGCAGAAGAAGAGGAAGGGGGAAGGAAAGCCTAATCTTGAGTTTCCAAGAGCTGAGCAGGGCCCTCAAGGATGGGACATTTTGAAGAGCCTTCATCCATAGGGTGATCATAAGTCAGAGATGGTTTGATCGCAAGAACAACCACAAAGGGAGACAGGATGTATCCCTGTCCTCTCCTCTTGTGGTAGTTTTCTTCCTAGGGAGCAATTGTGGCTGAATGCTAAGAGCAAATACTTTCCACACAAAAGGTGCTGGTTTTGATCTCAAGGCAAGATTTGGGAACAACTCGCTGAAAACCTGGAGATACGGTGCTGGTTATTATTGAGTAGCCTTCCCAAACATGCTGCCCTTCAGATGTTTTGCACAGCAATTCACAGTATTCCCGATCATTGGCCTTACTGGCTGGGACAGATAGGAGTTAGAGTGCAATGCATCTGAAGAGCATCAGGTTAGGGAAAGCTGATACAGACAAGAAAGGGCAAGAGGGATCCATGGTTGGGCTCAGTAGATGGAAACATCTTACCTATTTACTGCTAGGGATTTTGTTAATGCAAGAAAGCATTAGAAATGGAGTTTCCCTCTTGCAGTCTGAAGAGGTATAATCCATTCTATCATATCAGAATTCTTGCTGCGTCGTTCTGCTGCACTGGTAGACCAAGCCTCAGTCCGCCTTTTATGGGATCAGACTGTCCAAACAGCCTGGTACTTCTGCAGCTGACTGGCACTGGATCCCTGTGCCCGCTGCCAGGGGTCTTTTCCCAGTGTCTGCTAATTGCTCCTTCTAAGTGGAGATTCCTGGAAATGAACTTTGGAGTTTTTTAATGCAAAGCATGAGGTCTGCTGCTGAACTACTCCCAATATGACTGCCTGACTGCACCCACCAAATATTTGTTCAGTGGAAAAGGTCCAGTGATATACCTTCAAACTGACTTTTGCATCTGTGAGAGCCAGAACCTTGAAGGACTGAGAACTGAGGTTTGGAGCAAGCTGGAGCTAAGAGGATTCTTGGAGTTGTAGTCCTGGGCAGCATACTTTCCTAAGTGTACAAAATCGGGACAAAGTGTAAACCTGGACACTCCTCCCCATTTTCTAGCTTTAGGATGAATGCAGCAGGAGGATGGAGAGAAATAATAGGTAGGTAAACCATAAACCAGCCTTCTCTGACCAGATGTCCATCTGATCTTTTCATTTGCAATGCCCAGCATTCTTGATTCTTGGCCTTGTTGGCTAGACTGATGGGAGTTGAAGTCTAAATCATCTGGAAAGTACCCGGTTGGGGAAGGCTGCCCTAGATTTTAGGGTCCAGGTTTGGACTTTTGGGTATCTGTACGCCACACAAATGTCTGATCTGATGCATTGCGTGTTGCAAGTCAAAGCCCTCTTTGTTCCCATCCTGGAAGCAGCAGCAGGGCTGATTCCCATGGCTTCTGCTGGGTTGAATCAGCTGGAACCGATCCTGGGAGGGTGAATAGATCAAGCCACCAGAGAGGAGCTGGGACTTTCTTCTCCTCTGCTTTCTGTTTGCCAGTAGCAAACTAGTAAATAGCAAATTAAATGGGCAGCCTAAAAAATGTTTTCCTAAGATTGTGAAATGCTTTGCTTATGAGCATCCCCCATGGGGCATGGGGAGGGGGGAGCCACAGGGGCAATCTCCAGCTCCCCTTTCCTCCTGCTGTGCAGTTCAGCTGGACAGACCATTTTGGCCACCCAGGTGCAGCACTTCTGGGGGGATTGGGACCGAAGGGGGCAGGAGTGCCATCAGGACCCCCTGTCCTGAAGATCCCATGCTCCTTCCTTCCCCTTTCCCAGACCACTCCTTTACCCACTACGAGGTTGTTGCCGTTGTTCTTGCATTGGCTGTGACAATGGGGAGGGGGACCCCCATCTCTGAGGTCACAGCTCTGTTTCCAGCCTCAAATCAAGGAATGAGAAGCACCCCATGTCCCCCTGGATGCTGCCGTTCTCTAAGAGGTTCACCTTCTCAGAGAGTTTTGCCAGATGTGGGGGAGCCATGGCAGGATTTTAACATATGGCAGTAAGAAGTTTCATAAGACTGTCTAAACTTTAAGAAGAAGTTAACATTTAGAAAAAAAAGAAGCGAAACAAAAACCCAGAGTAATCAGTGGTGTGAATTGCATTCTGCCAATGCAGACCCTAAAATGAGGAAACACGTCTTATGACCTTTGGATTGTTTGTGAGAAAATGCAACCTCCCGGCACTCCCTTTGAAAGAGAACTTGTGTGTGTGTGTGTGTGTGTGGCCATGACCCTGCTTCTTTTCTTTCCTAGTGTGTTGCTGCTGGTCATTGCCGTCCTGGCATCTTACTCTGTGTTTCTGCTGCTCACTATGTGCCTTCACACTGGTAAGTGAGGGAAATGAGCCATTTCAAAGTGCTACACCAGGTATGCCTCTAGAAAGGGGAGACTAGAGAGTTACTTTGCAAAGCACATTGCGAGGGCTCTCTAATGAGTGTGGTTTGTGCAACATCAGCAACAAATTGCTTATCTGGTGAAATGTCATTTTGTTGCCGCAGTTCTCAGATTTTCTCCCTTCATGGAATGCTTTCCATGTTGATTGGTCTGATGAAGAAACCTCCTAAGGGACCCCCTTGTATTATAGAAGGTTCTTCGTCGTGGCCTCTGTGCATCACACATATGGGTGCTGCGCCTGCGCAGTGCCTTTGGCCGGAAGATTGACAGCTAACGGTTTTTGGCGGGAAAGCTCCGCTCCCCCTCCCCCCTGTGGCCTATAAAGACCGGAGCGTCCGCCATTTTGTTCAGTCTTTGCGACCGCCGTTCACTGTGCCTCGTGCTGCTTTCGACTTTCGCTTTGGCTATTCTTGGTTCTCTCCTTATATATTGCCCTTATACTACTTTCCCCTTACTTCGTTTCCCGCTTCTGTGTAGTTTTCTCTTATTTCTTCTTCGATCTAAAAAACCCCCAAAATATATACTTACCCTCTGCACTATCTCTCTTTTTCTTCTTCTTTGTTGCACACTGCTTGTTCGTAGTACTTGTCAGGCCTCTTGTGCCCCGTCATCCTTCCTGCCCCAGGACCCAGCATTGCGCTCTGAAACACAGACAGATTTTATAATTGGGAAACCCCCGCTCAGCCCAGAACAGAGTTTGAAATTGGCGGATTAGAAGGCGATGCTGTAGTCTGTAAATACTGCCGTTCATCCAGTCTTCTTGGTCTGTTTGTTGAAGAACATACTAGTGAGAGTGGTAGCTCTGCGTGGCTCATTTGACAAGGGGGGGTTTTATTGGGGGTGGACAATCCAGAGGTTCAGGCCTACTGCTCTCATCAGCCCTGGCTAGCACAGCCAGCAGTGAGGGACAGTGGGAGTTGCAGGCCAAAACATCTCGGAGTGCCACAAGTTGCCCACCTCTGTTTTAAAAACAGAAAGAGCCAGTGGTTGAGATAATGGCAGTTTGGCTGCAGGTCAGAGCATCTCTCCCCCCCCCACCCACCCACTTGCCCTGGAGCACTTTGTTAATGGATGGCTTCACACTCCTGGTCCACCAAAGTACAGCTGCCTTGAATGGTTCAAGGACTTTCAGAGATTTGCCCTGCAAATTATACCCATTGCTTTTTTGTTGGGCAACTGCCTATCTTTGTTTGTTTGTTTGTTTCACTGTTATAATAGCCTAAGCGCCTTGGAAGTACATGGATAATAGGGCAGGGTAAGCATTTTTTATTGCAACTGAAAACGTCCATCAAGATACTCCGAAACAAATTTAAGGGGATGATCCAGTGGCACCTACACATTGGTTGGGTGCCATGGGATGGCTCAGCTTCCCAGTTTGGAATTGGAAAAGGTGCTTCCACCTTGGAGCTGGAAATTGGAATTCCACCTCCTTCCCCGGCCCACCCTCCCTCCCCACCATCACTGGAAGAGACGAGCATTTTACAGGGAGTGGAGGAGACTGCCGCTATCCTGAAGCCTTTTTCTCTCCTCCTTTGGGACACCGTCACTAGAAGTCAGAAAACAGCCACTGAATGCAAACGTAGGAGACACGGTATTTCACTGCAGAATTTCTCTGTTTATTGCCGCCTGAAAGTATGTGTTTTTCTTATGACTGGCCTGGTGGAAAAACTTTAACCCAGGATGTGATTCACCGTTGGCCGTCCCCGACTTAGATGGTTGCTCCTTTTTGTAGATCCTACAGTATTGTGCAATGCCATCTCTTTGTGGCTATTTGCTGTTCCTCCTGTGAATTCTGTAGCTGACCCTCCGCTGGTTATCACTCCAGGAGAGGGAGAAGAAGAGGAGGAAGGTGTTCCTAGAACATTGGTCAAAGTTCAGTGCAGCCTATTTCAGGGAATTGTCCTGAAGGGACCCTTGTCCTGTACTGACTTCAGCAGTCCTACAGTTGCCCAGTTCTTTATCTCTCCCTGCTGACTTTTCTTGGAGACCCTAAATCATGATGGCACATGCATTTTCTTGCTTCCTTCTTTTCCTTTGTTCTGCCTGATTCTTCATCCAGAATATGAAAGAAAACGTGTCAGCATTATCTCAGCTTCTTAACTATCGTGTTGTTGCAACATACCTTCTCAGTGCAGCCTTACCCCTGTCATGTGCCTGTACTCTCTTTTGTCACAGCATTTTGATTTAAACTTTCGGACATGCTGGTCTTCCCTTTTCTAGAGAGTGGATTTTCTGTTGCACAAATACACTTCTCCTCTCTTCCTTTTCATTCACTGTCTCTGGTTATTCTGCTAACTCTTCCCCGATTCTTCTCAGAGGCTGCTGCCGTTTTCCACTTGCGCATGGCCTGCATGTTTAAGTGTTCGACTCAGGTACGATCTAATAGTTAATTTGAATTCTTAAAAATTATTTATGTAGGTGGTGGTCTTTCTGTAAAAACATCCAGGGCAACTTAAAAATAAAGAAAGCCACAGTAAAAATGCAATCTGCAATTTTTCAAAATGCAACAAGGACATTGAAGGGCTCAGCCAATAGCAGAAGCTGGTGCTAGAACTCGTTTAGAAACATAGAAACAGAGAGAGTCAGAAGGGGTCTCCTGGGCCATCTAGTCTGACCCCCGGCTCCAACCGGCTCCGCTCACGACATGCCCACCATGTGTATGTCCAGCCTTTTTGCAGGAGTCCTATGTCTGTTGCGTGAACTGAGTGTCCATGTTGTCTCCTGCCCAAATCAGTAAAAACGGGTGGCCTTTCAGACCTTGCAGTCTCCAACTCCCATCGTCCCTCACCCTTGACTATACTGGCTAGATCTGGAGGGGCTGTAAACCAAAAGAATTAGGGTGCCACAGATTGCCCACAGTTGCAGTAAAATAATCATAATAAAGCGAGCCCAGATGGAGAGATGCCCAACAGAAGGGGTGCCATTAAGACGGTCCAGCCCTGGGCACTACTTGACTGAACTCCCTGAGGCTGCAGTCCTCAGGATGCAAACCTGAATGGGAGCCTTGTTGAACACTGCAGAGCTTAACGTCTGCGTAAGCTTGCCTAACCCTTCGCCTGCTCTGAGCATTGACCGATGCACTTCTAATCATGGAGCATGTCTGTTGATGGAGTCATATATTTATAAAATAACCCTTAAAAAATGCATGGAACTGCTTCTGCTCAGTCTAGGCTGCACCTGTATGATACAAACCTGAAATGGTTCAATATAGATCTGGTTGGTGCTTCTGGCTGTCTCCTCCCAGTGCGGCCCAGAGAGTAGGACATGTGCCCTCCAGGCAGCTGGGAAAAGGGGAGGGAGAAGTTGAAGGGAACAGCACTCGCCAAAGGTTCTCCAGCAGCTCAGGTCTGTCTGAAAAAGGAAATGGATGGGATGGTCACTAAAACACACAGAGGGGGAGAGTGAGCAGAGAGCAGTGGTGTAGAGGGCAAGAGCTGGGGTCTGGGAGTCAGGCAGCTAGGGCGCTGGTCCCCGCTCAGCCATGGATCCCACTGGGTGTGCGAGTATACGATGTGCTAAATAAAAGGCTAACTAAAAACCTGGATCATTATTTTGCTTGTTTGCACTCAGCAATGCTTTCTGGCTTCCTTTTTTATTTTTTAACACAGAAGACATGATCCGGCCAAATGTTCTTAGGTCTTGTCGATTTCAGTGTTACAAGAGTGAAGCATGGTGGTTCATCTACTCTTTAAACACAGGGTTTTAAAAAGTTGAATTCTGGCTGGATTGTGCCTAATATCTGGCAATTAACTATATGTATTACAGTCTGTATTACAAGATCCTTGTGTTCTCTGAAAGAAGAAGAATATGTATTACATTCTAGGAGAGTATGCATAAAATATAACATTTACTTGTCACTGATGGCGCATTTCGAATTCCTTGTTTCCTTCTAATAGCTGTCACTTCCTATGAGGACATTGGGCTCTTTGCATTTGGCTCTCCTGGAAAGGTAATTTCCACAGTCTTCTGGATCTTATGCACTCCTTTTGTTAGTTCCTTTTTGTAGTCAGGATTATACTTCCAGTACACATTTTGCAATTCACGGGTTTAGACCACAGTTTCTAAATCCCTGAACCATGATCCAAAGCTTTGCAGAGGCCTGGTATCTGCATCTTGCTCTGTACATGCAGGAGATGAGCTTCTCCATATCACGGAAAGAGCAGCCTCTTCTGTATGCAGAGAGTTCTGCACAAGCCCTAGAGTGACTTGGCTCAAACATATAATTATGCAGAGGGTGAGCAACATGTTGCCTTCAAGGGCCAAGCTGGAATTCTCTGTTCAGTTGGAATTCTCTGGAATTCTCTGTTCAGAGGGCTCAAGCTAACTTGTAAGTATGCGTTGCATTTCCTTGTAAGCAGCATGGTAAATATTCACCTGCTGCTCATCTGGCGTGGTACAATATTCATGAAATGCTTGGGGTCGCCTTTTATGCTAAATGCCGGTCCAAGTCACGGCTAACTTTGCTAATAATGTGTGAGTTTATGTTTTCAAGGGAGTAGCTGGATTCTTTATTTTTTGTCTTCTCTCCTACAGTACAGTATAGAAACCCAGCATCTTCCCACGTAATTGCTTCTACCACTTTTGGTTAAAGACGTGATTTAAGCCTAGCCTGCAATGATGTTTCTGTGTCTTCAAAAATATTTTGCTCTTTTGATAGGTCCTTGTGGCCAGTACAATCATTATACAGAACCTTGGAGGTAAGAAATGTCCAATTACGGTAACTGATACTGCTGAGCCTCCTTTGGAGGGAATGTGCACAGAGCTGTCTTATGAACGGTGCAGAATCTGTGTGTGGAACTGTTCGGGAAAGTGATAGCAATTTGAGTTATGAGTGGCCGGCCATGGCCCAGTTGCTCTTAAGGCAAAAGCTCGGCTTTTGAATGGTTCTGGCACTGGTTGACATCTCAGCCATACTTTGACAAAGGTGTTGCTATATTTACCTGTGTAGGTGAGGCTAGCGCAACCTTTGGAAAATGGGCCCATGAAATCCTTTTGGCTGCCAGACAGACATGGGTCAGCTTTCCCTTGCGCCTGCCGGTGCGTGCGTGTCACACCAGTCCTTTCCGGAGGAAGGGCAGGTCATATCCACTGTCCCTTCCTCTCCTGCCTCATCCAGAACATTCTGCAGCTGCAGCAGAGATGTCAGGGGAACAGCTGGTCCTGAGCAGTTTGGCCCTGGCTAGGTGTGCTCTTGAGTGCCCCGCGTGATGTGGGGTGGGCCGCGATGCCTGTCCATCTGCCAGGTGTGGGACAGCCCCTGCCAGGCAGTAGATCTGCTGTACCACTCAATGGCTGCTCCGTCTGCAAGCAGAACATCATGGGAAAAACAAGACTGTTCTTTTCGTTTCGGAGGTGGAGCACTGATTAATGTCTCCACCTGAGAATGGGAATGAACAGTATCAGCAGTTCCCCTGCTCATCCCAAGGGAACTGTGCTCATGCAGATGCACCTGCTGTCTTTGTGTTCATTTCCCTGTCCGCTTCCACATGCTTTGTGCAAGAAAGCACCTTAATATAACGTGGAAGGACCAAGTGCCAGATTGCAAAGTTGCTGAGCTCTGTAATGTCTCTGTGGTTATATAAATTCAGGTCAGGCTGCCAGTCATTTCTCCACTTATAAATATACTTCGAACGGGGCCATTTGCTTCCATAATTCAATTTCGTATCCTTCTTTGTAAAGCAAACTGCATTCGAAAGCGCAGCAGAACTTTGATATTAACTCCTGACAGAAGTATGTACACACCACTCAGAAGGACTAAGGGTTATTTATTCATACTGGTTTGGGGTGACATTATGTAGCAAGAAATATGATTTTTAATTTCCTTTCCTGTGGGAGTGGACCACTAAATAAGTGTCATTAAACCAAATGGGGATAAGCAGTGAAGACTCAGACAGACCTCAAGCCTAGTGCAAAGTGTGCTGGCCAAAGGAAATTCGAATCTTATTTCTTCCTCCTCCCAACCGTTTTTAGCCACCCGTGCCTGCCATGTGTAATAAAGCTCTTCCGAGGAACGCTGGAGGCCGGGGTTATCGCACGCTTGATATTCTCAAGCTACTTATTCCATCATCAGTAATAATCCTGCGTGTCAGAAACTAGACCCCAAGCCATAAGCCTATCTACCAAGAGGCTTATTTTTTATTAATTCAAGAGGCAGCTTTCATGATTGGAAAATATTATTGCAAGGTTTTAGATAGCACTGATCATTTGGATGGAAGCAAACAGTCCCCTTCAGCATTCAGTGTGCGTGGGAATGTACTTTTCACTGGCAAAGTGTGTGTTTTCCTCTCTGCATCTCCTCCATAATAGATACAAAAAGGCAAATTATAAATATAATAAATAAGATACATACATTTCAGGATGGACAAGGGAGGAAGAACACTAAAATATGCACATTTCATGGCAAGGCAGTCAAATGGAAAGGGAAATTATGCAAATTTTAGAACTACGAGTAAACAGCAAAACAGAGCAACGTTTTGGAAATTTCATGCCAGAGCAAGGAGACAGGGAAATTGCACAAAACTCAAGGCAGAGCAATAAAATGGAGGGATGATTCATGCAAAATTCACTCTTGTGCACGTGCTCAGAACCAGCAACCTGTGAATGCAGCTCTCCAGTGTTCACGCTTCAAGATTTCTATGGAAACAAAAATGAAAAAGCCCTCCTGAGGTGAAGCGTGCTGACGAGGGATGAAGGTGGCCCGCTAAGAAGGTCGTGAGGAGCAGCAGGGATTTTCACTGTTCTTGCTGGAGATCTAGCTGCTTTGGGCAATGCTGGAGAGAATCATTCTGTTCCGGCTGGACAGCCCAGCAAGTCACCCAAGGCGCCCCTGCTGCAAGCCATGGGTTCTCAGGGTGGCTTGTTTGCAAAAGCAAAACCCAGTCGCTCGATAGAAAAAACGTTCCAGGTCCAGGCGTCGCATCGGAACAACCCCCCGTTGCCTAGTACGGTGTGTGCAGTGGGCCTCAGTTTGACTGCTAATATTTTTCAAGTATGAAGATGATCTACAGGAAGTTAATAGCTAATGGTAGCATGTCATGCAGGCAGGATTCACTAGAACAGAACTGAGCAAGGAGATGTACTTCATGGCCTGAGTGGCTCCTTCCAACTCTGCTATTCTGTGTACTTATCTTTACATATATAGATGGAGGAGGATGACTTTACTCCAGGTGTTTTAACCATTTAAAACAGAACCAAGCATTGACTGTGCAAAACTGTGCCAGTAATGTCTTTGATCTCCAGCTTTTAGTTTTAATTAAGGATCTACTGTTCATTTTTTTCAAGATTCTTTCCACACTTGAACAAAATAGGTGCTTTAGATTCGGGGTTGAATTTCCTTGTGAATAGGACAGGGAAGTGGTAGCTGCATTGGGAGTATTTTGCTGGTCAAGGGCATAGATGCTCCCCTGGCTGCTGTTGCCACCCCATCTGCTGGTCATTTGGGGTAACGCTGTGGCCACTGCATTTTCCAGGAAAGAGCAAAATACTACTTTTGCTAATATTCCCAACAATAACAGCAAAGAAATGTAGGAACTGATGCAGTCCTTGGGCTTGAGGGGGAAATGATCTTACATGCTACTGTACTAAGTTTAAGCTGATCTTAGTTAACAAGTCTGTAACTAGTGTAATCTCTTCTTTTTAACTGCTAGCAAGATAGTGTATTCCTTCAGATGGAATAGTGTATATATATATTCCCTCTATACCAGTACAGAGAGTAGTTTTTCTATTTTGCAAAAACACCCTACTTATTTATTTTGCTCATTTATCTCTTTAACTCTGGATTTATTTTGCAAGTGAAGAATAGGTCAATTTTTACAAAGCCATTATATGACGTGGGGATGTATTTCCCTGAAGCCTCTTGTCTCGCTCTCCAGAGGCATTACCTCCCTGCTAGAATCTTGACATGTACCGTGTTTCACTAACACAGAGTGTGCTATAGTGTTTCTTCATCTCTCCAGATTCTTGTGCCAGTGGTATTTTTATGACAGGGTTGGTACAGGGACATCTCACTGAGCTAGAAAGATCCCAGGTGGCTTATACAAACCTTTGCTGGCATCTAGCAAATATGAATAACATTCCTGCCCCATCAGTGTTTTTCCTGCCCCCCTGAAACTGCCACCTGTTTGGTTCTTTATTGGCAAAGGTGACCAAGTTACGTTCACTTGGCAGTTGTTCCTGTCATTTGGAATATAACGGGGTCCAGACTTTGTGATGATCTCAGTGGGTCTACTCAAAGCGTGGCTAAATCTAGATCCAGCCTTTGGTATATCATGACAGTGTGGAAATTTGGTGTGAATTCTGCTTTGAAGGGCTTTCCTCCTGCCCAGTTGCCTTGCAGCAGTGCACAGAAAGGTGAAATGCAGCTTGGGAAGATGCCAAGCGCTTCCAGCCGGTTGGTTCAGATTTTTGGAGGCCTTCGGCAGAGTGCTATCAGATTCCTGATTATGTTCTGCCGCAGACCTCTCTCTCCTTTTCTTTCTTCAGTAAAATGGGATGCAGTGTTGCCTTGCAAATAGCCACAGCACAAAAGAATCACCCCAAAGCAATCAGGGAAGCTTTAGCAAATAGGAAGAACGCGGGCTTCTCCCCCACTCCTGTTGTCATGACCGTGTTGTATTGAGAAGCCCGGTAAGAGGTGGCAGAAAAGGGGTGTGGGACGATGACGAGTCTTGCAGTTGGTTTTGTCCATGTCAAAGAATTCAGTAGCTGTTTTTATTTAAAAAATAAAGATAGACCAGATGATCTTTGATGCGTCGTGTGGCACTGTACCTGCATAGATCACCAACTTTCAGGATGATGTGATCAAACGGGAAAGATCTTTTTTTCACGTTAAAAGTGCTGCTCATATTCGAAGTGTTTGTGGGGCAAATGTGCTCCATAATCCAGAAAATATATTCCAGGAAAGACGGGCATTTGGCCTCCTCTGCCACCACAGTAATGCTTTGCAAACAGTTCTGAAATAAACAGACACCTAAAGTGGAAGCAACCACGGCCGTTTCCTGCCACAGGGCATCCATTTCTTGGTAAAGATTTGCCTAAATTAATCTTTTAAGTGACTTCTGTATTTTCCACAAGTGCAGATTGTTTACAAAGAGATTTAGACTAATTTGAGCGCTCACCCCTTCAGCAGCTTATGTTTGGCTTGAAAGGTAATTGCCCTTATTGTTTTAAATTGAGGATTTCCAGCTCTGTTTTAATTGAGGGTGGGTTTGCCATCTCCAACCCTAGCTGAATCATTCAGGCCATTAAGAGCAATTACGTTTTATTTTTATAATTTAGGAAACCATCTAGGATGATGATAATTTTTCAGAAATGAAGCCATTTAATGTGATTGTGGGTTGGATCCTTCTATACGTATATATCAATCAGAAGGACTCTGTAGGGCAAAAAGCTAGAAGAAAAGTGTTTTCTAATAGGCAACCCTTTTGAGCTTGTGATCTACATGGGCCTGGTACAGTCATTATTACGCACAATGCAGAATGTATTATATTGTAAATGGATGCCCCTCTGGCGTGATAATTAGCTCTTAATTTGTGCATGTACAGAATGTGCCAACAATTTGAGGGGTGCTAAGCTGGACAGTAGCTTTCCAAAATAGCCCCCTAAAACCTATTTAAGAAAGAGAGGCATCTTTTATAGAAATAAGGTGTGCTATCTTCTAAATGGATAAAGATGGCGCAGAAGTGTAATACAAACAATG